TGTGTGCTTGTGTGAGTGGTTGCTTGTATGCTTGTGTGTGTGTGTGTATGTGTGTGTGTGTGTGTGTGTGTGTGTGTGTGAAGGCTTCCAAAGCTAGAATGTCCTTAGGGACTGCAAATTTACTTTTTGTGCCTTTAATCAACGTTTTCAGTAACATCCACACAGAAATACGTTTTTTAAAGGGACATAAAAGCTGGAAAAAACAATTGTGGCGACAGACTTGTGGTTCATAAGACGCATGCTACGTATCCCATGGAGAGCTAGAAAATCAAATGAAGAAGTCTTGGTTGAAGCAAATTATAGAAGATAGCTCATGACGAATATAAGAAAAAGACAGGCAAATTTCTTCGGACACACGATGCGGAAAGAAGCATTGGGCAATATTGTAACAACAGGAAAGTTTGATTGAAAGAGAGGCAGAGGCAGACAGAGGGAAAAGATACTGGACAAGATGACAACAAGGCTAGGAGCAGCAAGAACAACAGACACCATTGCTGCAACGCAAGACAGAGTGAAGTGGAGGTCCATGATCGCCCATGCCAGTCGGCAAGGCACCGGATGATGATGATGAAAAGGCCCATGAAAGAAAAATCGATAAAAATTGCATAAAGGCAGGGGAAATGCTGTTTTCCTCGATTCCACTATTCCGACGAGCATCTGGTTTCACCACGACGCCTGACATACAATATGCACGTGCACACGTCATGCGCGTGTGAGTGTATCCCCACCACCACTGACCCCACTGGTGTCCTCCCCGCTGATGTTGATCCTCTGGAAGTCCGGCAGCAGGTCATACTCCTCCTCCAGCTCACTGGCCACCTGGCTGGGGATCACGCTGTCGATGCGGGGCAGGTGGCCTAGGTGGCGCGCCTTGTGAGCCTGGGGGCGGTCGGCGGGTGGCACCACAGCCGTCGCCGAGGCCGCAGGGGGCACGGCGCTGGAGAGACAAGGCAGGGAAGATATTCATTTATATATTATACACCTGAGTAAGACGGAATCTCAAGGGAGCCAGAAAAAAAATTCCGTCTAAGACAGGGGAATATAGAGGAGATGGAAGGGGGGGGGGATTTCAAAGGCCCAGCGATGGGATCAAGGGTCACTTGTCACTTGTCCGGTTGGCAAGCAGTAGTAAAACTTCCCACCTCAACTGCTATCCTCTCTGATAATGACATGCATCTTTATCCAATTATCACCAGCGCTTGCATTTTATACGAGGACCACTGGGTTTTTTAAAAAGTCAGTTTAAATTGTCTGTTGTCCATGACGTCATAACTATTCGAATACTGGCCTTACACTACAGACTGTAGTGACCCAAGTAGTAGGTCAAGTAATTTCCGAATGAAGACCTCAACAACACCTTGGGGTTTTTCCAATAATCCAAAGCCTGAATACACATTACTATTACCAACAACTTACAACAATTACTACAAATGAAATCGGAAAAAAGAATAATAACAACAGGAACAAAAACAACTGCAATAATAATAATAACAATAGATTA